AAACAAATGACAAAATGAAATGAAGTTCACATTCATCGATTTATTCCAAATGATCGTTAGACTAAGTAAGGCACAGACTGACCATTATAAGGGTAAAATGATACCCGGGGTCAAACAGCAAAGTTACCACAGCATCACAACCAAGTCAGTAACGGGTAAATCCTCCTCTGTTTGCCAAACAAGCATTGATCCGACGTGGCATACTCCTAATGAGACGTCTAAGGTCATTTTGGTCCAGATTGTCCCATTCCTGTTGCAACGCAGCAGCAAGTTCTTGGACATTGGCAGGACGTTGTTGACGTTGACATAACCTCTGTCCAAGCATGTCCCAGACATGCTCGATGGGGGAGAGGTCGGGACTCAGTGCTGGCCAAGGTAATGTGGTGATGTTCTGTTGTTGGAGGTAACCTGTAACGATCCTGGCCCTGTGACATCTTGCGTTGTCATCCTGGAAGATGAAACGGCGGCCATGACGTCGTGCGAACGGCACAACATGGACTGCCAAGATGTTGTCCCGGTAGTACTGGCCTGTAACACGCCCTGCAACAACATGTAAAGCCGTTCTTCCAGCAACAGTGATGCCTCCCCACACCATAACAGAACCACCCCCAAATCGATCATGTCTGATGACGTTAACGTCTTGGAAGCGCTCGTTTCGACGACGCCACACCCCCCTACGTCTGTCCAAAAAATCAACAGTGAACCTTGACTCATCTGAAAACATCACACTGCTCCAGCGTCGATTATCCCAGTGTTGACGATCCCTACACCAACGACGTCTTGCCTGAATGTGATGATCTCTCAAACAAGGGATCACGCGAGGACGTCGGGCGCGAAGGTGACCCCTATGCAGTCGATTCCGAATCGTCTGGCCACTCACTCTCACACCAGTGTCTGTTTGAAGACGAGCGCTGATCTGATTTGCTGTGATGACACGATTTCTCAAGGCCAAGGTACGGATAAATCGATCCTGGGCTTGAGTTGTCGCCCTTGGTCGACCTGAGCGTGGTCTGTCATGTACAGATTGTGTATCAAGGTATCTGGACCATAGCCTGCTTATGACAGACTGAGAAACATTCATCGTCCGCGCCACAACCGCCTGTGTTGTGCCGATCTGTAGCATGCCAAGGGCACGTAACCTTTCATTTTGGGTAAGCCGACGCATATCAAAATTTGTTTTCTGGTCACTAAAACAATTAAACTGATGTTTCCACCCTGGAATTCAATGCCACAATGACTGTAACATTCAAAGTCAGAGTCGTGCAAATCTTGGGTTGGACCCCCATGATGATCCCAAGCATCACCTGCATTCCATGCGGTAGCTATTGGTGCGTTTGGGCGTCACATGTAACTGGAAATGTTTCTTCTGTTAGGTTCTATAGTGACTTTTTTCGTAGTCATTTGCATATTTTAGTATTATGCCCCCAAAATCAAATATCCCCTACTTTTTTTGAATAGTATATATGACAGATGACTGGACACTCCCCCATGAAAGTATATGACAGATGACTGGACAAGCCCCCATGAAAGTATATGACAGGTGACATGTAGTTCAACTTTTGATTTTTAACTTGATGCTAAATTCAGTTCTTGTTTCACATTTACAGTAAAATACAAACAATCAATTTGATATTTTTATATTTTTTATGACTATAATTTCTGCCATCAATTTTAATCTCAATTAGACAAATATTATTAGTTATAAAATCTTACAGAAATATAATCTCTACACCTACAGGTAAGGCCAATTAAACAAAGGTGTAACAAAATATACCTTAGTTATAAAATGTTACAGAAATATGTTGATATCTCTACACCGACAGGTAAGGCCAACTTAACAAATTATTTTTCTTCTCAAAAACTCCTACATCACTTATAAAGAGCTGTGTGACCTTTTTTTATTTCAAACTATAAGAACGGTCTACCACATATAAATCTTGTCCACGTGTTAGAAGAACGGTCTACCGCCTATAAATCTTGTCCACATGTTATAACAACGGTCCAACGCCTATAAATCTTGTCCACTTATTATAAAGAACAGTCTACCGCCTATAAATCTTGTCCACGTTTTACAACAATTAACTAGACCTGCCACGTGTTATTATATAAAGAAATTTGAATAAAAAACGGAAATGTACCGAAGGTTCAATTATCAAATCCCTGATAAATTTTATTGACATCAATATAATGGATAACCACCCCACCCCCCTGCACCAAAATAATTTCTACTGTATAATTATCTATAACTACCAATAGAACATTTTAAAACAATCTCTACATCTCTGTAACCTTTGTCTTAATACACAATCACAGAATTACACCCCCCCACACCCCCCCCCTCCCTACTTAAACATACATTCTCTGTACCAAGCACCCTCCCATTGTTTTTTTACACAAGATGACTGAAAGTTTTTTTTGTATTTATGACACATCTTAAACTTCGGATGACTGAAAGTTTTTGTATTTATGGCACATCTTAAACTTCAGATGACTGAAAGTTTTTGTATTTATGACACAGCTTGGATTATTTCTGTAAAAATTTCTTCATCATTTTTCTCTGTTTTCTCTGTTTCTTTGACAGCCGGTTCTATGTTTGCATTGGTATCGAGACTGCCGAGGGATAGTTTATTGGGATTAATGGTGACAGATTTGGTACAGTTGTGGGTTTTATAAATACCAACAAGTCTGTCTGCTAGTTCAAACATATTACTACGTAGTGATATAATTATAAACTGAGCATTCCTGGTTCGTTCCTGAAAAAATAAATCCATGTCAATTAGAACAGACAATTATAATAAATATACACAGTAGTCCCTATCATGTTTGAATTAGCTAGCCCCTATCATGTTTGAATTAGCTAGTCCCTATCATGTTTGAATTAGCTAGCCCCTATCATGTTTGAATTAGCTAGCCCCTATCATGTTTGAATTAGCTAGTCCCTATCATGTTTGAATTAGCTAGCCCCTATCATGTTTGAATTAGCTAGCCCCTATCATGTTTGAATTAGCTAGCCCCTATCATGTTTGAATTAGCTAGTCCCTAATCATGTCTAAATATTGAGTAAAAACACCAACATGTCAGTATCAAGTTTTTATTTCCCTTCAGGCAAATAAAATAATAATAATTTGACTTCTATCTTGTTTTTGGTACAAGTCACCTATTGTTGAAATGTAGGGTCCAAAATTGCATGTTTTCTTGTCTCTACTTCCAGCTTGTGTATCTCAAGTTTTCCATGGTGAACCTCATACGTGCTTTTGGGCAAGAAGTTGCCACATGTTGCTCCATCTATGGTAGAAAGCGTTCTACCCAATGAAAATTTGGGAAAAAGGTTAGAGCCGGTCTAAGAGATGAGAATTAACATTAAAGTCAATGGGCAAATATTTAGTGATCTGTGGCCTGTCTATGTGTGACAGGCTGAGACTGATATGCCTTAGTTTTGAAAATATGAAGATTAAACTCTCAGAAAATATGAATAAAATATTTTGACTACTGAAAAACTAAAAAAAGTTAAATTTAAAAAAAAAAAAAATCAAAATTTGGAGAAAAATTGTGATTTTACTGCAAATTTCTCAATTTTCAGTTTTTATTTAATTTCTATTAGTAAGAAAAATATTTTAATGTCCAATTTTGGCTTATTCAACCTCAGAAAGCACAGATACAGTGAACAGTATTGTAATTTCACCAAATTTTGTCTAAAAATCAGGAATATTCACAGAAAATCTTTGGATTCCCCCCATTTCAATGTAGAAATCAATCCTTTCATGACTACTCAAATGAGTCAAAATGTCTAAAATGCATCTGAGTTTCATTGCTAATATAACTTAGATGGGATCTACAAGTTTATCAGGTTTAGAAATAGCCCCAGCTTTCTTGCAGAAAATTGAAAATTGGTAAAACTGAGTTAATAATGTACAGCAGGTGGGTTTGTACAACATGTTCAAAACAGGGGTTGGCTCAATTTTGCTACTGTTTTACCCAGAACAAGCATTTTTTTCTTCTTTGTAACATTAAATTCTTGCATTTCCTTCACGTAGAAAGCAATATTCCAGTCTTTCTAGCCATTTTTAACTCCACCACTTCCTTAGGAGAGGCTATAAATGCCCCACCCCACCCTTTTTTATTAATGTGTTTTGAGAGATTTAATTGCACCTGTGTTGACAATTAAATGATAGTAATTGGAATTTGTGGTTGAATTACAGCTAGGAATGTTGTTTTTCACTAATAAATAGCTATTTTGTACATTTCAAAGATTTCTAAGCCTTTTTGTTTAAAGTCAAACTTAGAACCCAGAGACATGTCAGGCCAATGAGACCACACCCTAATATAAAACTGGTGTAGATGTGTAAATGTCAGTTTAATGTTCAATATTTTCTTATCAAAGTCTAGAATTTGTGGTGATTGTTGCATTTATGTTACTTATAGAACAGTTAAATGTTAATATTGCTCCTTTTCAGGCCTCCTTCATCTTGTCAACTCTGTCATAATTCCTTTTTGGACATCATTTTTTCAGGCAATTGATGTAAAGGTCCAGACATCTTGCTTCAGCACAAGAATTGCAATAAAGATTTGTATGGTGCCTCTGAGCCTTGAGATGTTGAAAACATTGAAATTTTCCCAAATTTGTGAAAATTGTATTCTGTGACCCTTTTGTCAGAGAGGGGTGGTCATAGACCAAATATGACATTTTTTTGCTTTCATCAAGGCCTATTTTTAACCATAATTCATATTTATTGCACATATTTTAGTTTATATGTACATATGTTAGCCAGGGATGGTAAAACATAGCTATTAGACATATTGCTTTGATGATGTTACTTCTGCAACCAAAGATTAGATTCATTCAGTCAGTGACATATTTAGGGGGTGGGGATACATGTTTAAGTATTACAATCAATGCATAGTGGAACAGAATGGACGATCTGAAAGTAGGTAAAAATTTTGAGTATAGTTGTTCGAGCAGAAGGGAGTGGATGTCATGCCCCCCCCCCCCACACTGTACAGAGGGAGAGCGAGAGGGGACCCTAATAGTTGTCATCGTCTATCGGATACTAGATTTAACAACAGGAATTTCAACTGTAATCTACAGGTGTAATAGTTAGGTGGGGCTTATTTACTGCCAAACAGACCGTGACTATTTTATCGTCTATATAAATATATATACGTTATAGACTTGTATATAGGCCACTATACTTATGTTATGTTATCGAGACAAGCAGGTATTCATTTATTGAAACTGACTATTATAATATTATATTAGATACAACCCGACATTTATACAGTAATATACAAGTGACCAATATGATATAATATTCACAGATTTACATGGAAACTTTTGTTGACATTTTGGAATAGAATCAGGCAACTACAAGATTGTTCAAGTAAATAGGTGAGTTTTTATTATGATAAAGGGGTTATAAAGACGGGAAATTTCCGAGGAACATTGTTCGACTGGGTAAGGTAGGCTACACTTTCTTTGGTGGCGGGTTGTGATTAAGACTGTTCGGGAGCCCCCTCTCCCTCCGACACCCCCGATAGCCCAGTAGGCCTGCAAGGGGAAAGGTAATATGTGCCCATCGACTGGTGTTTCGATTTGTTTATGTTTTTGTTACTCTCATTGGGAGTGGGGGGCCGGGGAGGTAAATTCCCTTTGATTTTGTCGGTTTTTTGGTCAAGAATGAAAAAAGTATATTCATAGGCGTACAAGCCAGTTGGTGGGATGGGGAGGGGGTCAGCTGCCCCCTAGCTTTCGGGCAATCTAACTTTTCGGGCAACGGGTAAAGTGAAAGCGAAAATTATTATTTCATCTATTTGGCAAAATAAAGTGCCGCAAATTTTTTAATTGAATGCCATTTTTGGCAAAACGTGGCAAAAGTGTGTTAATATTTTACCTACAATTTTGCCACGTTGTAACGTGGTAAAAAAAGTGGTAAAAAAAATGCCACGTTTGTCTGGAGTGCAGAAACGTAGCTTTTTAGATTGCCATGTTTTTGAAACGAGGTATTTTGTCCGAAACGAGGTTGGGTAAAAAAATGCCACGTTTTCTTCAAAATAATTATAACCGGTACTTGCCATCATCAAATAGAGCCACACATATAATGTCTCGACCTTCACGTGAATAACTGCAGATCTACAAATTAGATTATTTATCGGGATATCATAAATATAGTTAATTAATATGATGGTTTCCTTCACTGGAATTCTATTGTGTATAATAAACATGGCGGTTGGTGGTTCTTCTCCTAGCATATGTTAGATTAAATAAACACTAGTCTATTGTTTATTTAATTGCAAATCCCAAATGAGCAAATTTCAGATTTGATTAATTGTTTATTTTTTATTATTATTTGATAAACCATAGTTCAAAGTGTCAGTTCTGAATTTAGAACAATTTTACAGAATTAATATTTTTTTGCCAGCTTTTATCGGTCACCAGTTGGAAATATGAAATTTCCCTCAACGATTAATAATTTTGTTGAAAATTTGTGAATATTTCATAAGATCATTTTTAAAGCATATTATTTCTAATGATTGGTCATTCAAGCATACTAAAACATGTTTTCCTCAGTTTGGCTACTTTTTTTGTGTACCTAGTTTATACTTAGATGAATTATTATGGATTGTTTCTAATTTAAGTATGTATGTGTACTCAGACAATTATTTCGTCATGTTCTGTTGAGATACATCAATGAATCCTTGAAGATAAGTAGGACGACTGAAGATTTAGGCTTGCTATCATTTTTACTGACTGTTTATTCACAGTCTTACAGAAAGGACTATTATGTTACAGTAAAGACACAATTGTTACAGGGTTGACATAAAGTTATCTGTTTTTGAAAGAAAACTGGAAATATTCTGTCAAGAAATATATTTCCACAAACTACGTCACATGAGTACTGACTGGCACTAGCATCATATATTTCCAGACAAACGGGAGAAGGGTTTAATATAGGCTATGATTGTTCCTCAATCCCTATTCAGATACAAATCTGAATAAAAATATTGCTTTAAAAAAAAAACCAAAAAAAAAAAAACCGTGATATCAAATTTATGTTAATGGTGTGATGTTTCTGGATTGATTTTACAGGAAGGACATGCTCTCTGGAATCAAAATTATTTACAAATTGAAACAGCATAATTACATTCTTTTATTACTATTTTATTAGCTTGAAATTCCAATTTATAGAACTGTATATAAATCATAAAATGCTAAACTATAACATTGCTGAAATTAGTAGAATATATTGCGCTTCAAATAAATGATGATAACAAACGAATAACTTTCAAAATAAAAGCAAAAGTCAACATTACCAAATTTTGTAGGGGTTTGTCTTTATACTATGGCTAAAATTATCTATAGACATGGTAAGGTTTGGGGGCGTTTGGAAAACTTGGACCGTGAACATTTTATGATACATTTTCTATTTATTTTGTTTGAACATTAGTAGTTTATCCTATCATCTTCTAAGATTTTGGGAAAGTATATCCTACAAAGTTTTGTTCTGTGGTGTTTTTCACCACAAGAGTTCCACAAGATATTGGACATAGAAAATAATTCAATTTTTTCAAAAATTTCTTCTGAGACCCTCAATCCCCGTTGTGGTACCACATTCCACCAGATTTTCGGGGGCCATGAAATAAGATAGTCAAGTAAACTAGAGTACGACAGGTTTAGTATTCGGACAATGAATTACAGTGGGCTGATATCCAGTTACATTTGCTCTGTTTTTGCTTGAAAAGACACAAGAAACAGATTAAATTTAGATTAAAGCGATGTGCTCTTGCTTTTCTTTTGGAATTGTCTGTTTTGAATGCCATCTACAAGTCTTGCAAAATATTAACAAGCTTTTGCCAGGTTGGGACAAAAATGTCAAACGTGACATTCTGACTTAACTAGTCGCTATGATTGAATTTATCCACGACTGGACGCAATCACGAGCAATCAGTTGATCATAGTCGTAAGCGCGCCCATGTCGCCCGGTATCAATTGAAGAATCGGAGCCACAACGGATCACATGACTGACACGTAATAACCTTCAAAATGACCTCATTCCACTTGTCCCCTGGGTACCACGTGACTAAATAACCGAATCCTATTGGCTACGTCAGCGGAGCGCCGACTCACGCCAGTCATAGGTGCGTTCATGTCGCTTGCAACTAGGGACAACTGCTTGTCATCAGTCGTAAGAGTAGAACATGTTTCTCAGAGAAACTGGAGACGACTGGACGGCGACTGGTTGCCGTCCGACTTACACCAAACACAAGAGCGCTCAGGTCGCCCAAGTAGTCACGACTAATCAGTTCCACTTGATCGTAAACGAGTCGCCGATTTCGAGTCTCCGTCAGTTTTATCGCGTCGTAGGTAGGCTATATTGGACCACATGGAAGTGGCTGGAATAGCAGGACAATGCGTTTGCGGCAGTTAAATTTTCAAAATTTTCTCCTAATGGCTCCATCTTCGTGGACAGTATAAGATTGATTGGTTGATAGGAATTCGAGTCAGCTACTTAAGTTAGGCCATTTTGTACTTGATGTATTCATGAGCTGGGATCGCAGGAAAACGCGTTTGTTACCGTCCGCTCCTTCACCGGACACCACCGTCTGTGACTCTCATTTTTTTCGGGCATGGCAGGTTTTGCCACCCATCCACCCTCTCAACTCCTAACCTCTACCACTCATCGACCCCGGACGCCTATGTATCACGGGACAATTTATGTATAAATTTATCTGATATTTGTAGATGTATCTCGGTAAGAGGACACTGGTAAAACACCCTTCATAAAAGGCTTTTTGTTATTAAAAAATTTAAATGTCTCACCATGATCTAAATGTATAAATAATGAATCTATTTATCGTTGATGTTATACATACGTATACAATTTCACACACCGTCTTCTTTTATATTATAAATATTGTTATTGGCATACTTATTCAACAAGGATGTTACTCATATATCCATTTTATTTTTACACGTGTGACGGATTTAAGGGGCATAAAAGGTCTGACTATTCATTTTATTCGTGGAAAGCAGTGAGGTGTTACAATAGTTACATAGAAATAGATGTTAATACATAGATATGACGTCACCCTTTGGTGTTTTTAACCGGTATATAGGAGATTGTACACTTTTCTTAAACAATCGCCTATTATTTATAAAATTGTCCACTATTTATTGAAAATAATGGACAGTTTTACCAATATTAGACCAGTGCATGAAAATACTTTAAAACTTCATAGTTATCGAAATCTCAGATAACCTAATGTTGATTTCGCTTGTTTGTCGATGTGAAGAAATTACTGTTTCCATATTGTCTATTTTGTTGTCAGCGAATTTTGGTTTCTTTCCTACATAAAGAATTCAACTTAAATCCGCCTGTTGTATGTCACTGGTCTGTTTATAAGTACGTTCGGCACTTGATCGATGATACGTTTTTTATACGCTCACATTTTCACGTGGACGTATATTGACGTCGCTTATGTCCGTCCGTTCGTTCACAATTTCTTTGTAGACACTCTACGGGTTATAACTGTATATCCCAACGATCTCGGTTCCTTTCGATATTGGCTTGTATGGGATCGTGTCTTCATGGATTATGGCCCCTGATTGTACCCACTAGAGGTCGCAATTTTTATCCTATTTTGAAGATACTGAACATGTATGTTTATAACCCAAAGATCTCGATTCCTTGCGATATTGGCGCATATCTGAACGTAACTTCCTGGACTATGGCCCTTGATTGAACAAAAAACCGTGTTTGTACACAAGTTAGGTGTCTCTATTTAACAACACAAATTTGTGTTGAAAGAACACAAACTTGTGTTAAATGTTGAAACAACACAAGACTTGTGTTAAAATTTACCAAACAACACAAACTTTTGTTGAAACTTGTGTGAAAATCTACACAATACTTGTGTCGAAACTTGTGTTGAAATTTCTGAAACTTGTGTTGAAATTTCTGAAACTTGTATCAAAATTTCTGAAACTTGTGTTGAAATTTCTGAAACTTGTGTTGAAATTTCTGAAACTTGTGTGGTTTCATAAAAACTTGTGTATAACCACCAACAAAAACTTGTGTTTTATTTTCCCTCAATTTAGCAATCTTTCCCATGCAGCCCCCCACCCCTTTTGCTCTGTTTAACCTGTAAAGTTTGATAAATGAGGTAACAATAATTTTATTTGTTAAATTATCATTTATTCATAAAATGATAGGAAAAAGTAAATTAACACCACCAAATCAAAACTAAATAGACATCATTTGAAATGTTAACAGAAAAACAGAGATATAATTCTAATACTAATAAAATTTCTGTTATACTTTGCCCCCCTCCCCCCCCCCCCACATCACAAAATACAAAATAGCTATTTAATTTTTTCTTTACCCGAAAACA